ATGCATCTGTTTCATGATCCTATTCAAGATGGCTGAATGGCGGCCATTTTAAGGCCAAAAATGTATCAACATCACATATTTTTAAGTTCACATGTACATTAGACATGTGCATTTTTGTCACCATCAAATCCAAAATGGCTGACTCACAGTCATCTTGCTTAAACAAATGCAATTCTGCAGAGCCTTATCTCATATGTGCTGGACCAATTATGTTAAAACTACACACATACATCACACATCAGTTACATATCTTGCTTCTATAAAACAAACAGGGACTATGTCATTGACATATCAGAAAACTTCATTGCAACTTTTCTTACCTATAAACTCTGGATGACAATAAAATAAAGTCTAAATAAACAAAGATATTCAAACAAACATCTAGGTATATTTCAACATTTCAGTGATGAAAGGCTTGTTATATTTTAAAGGGAGCAAATCCTCGAAAATTTTCCGCAATTCATAGATACTCATGCCTCATATACATACATGTATTTCACATAGTTATCCCCTGACCTCAACAATGCTACTTTAGAGCAGGGCTTATGAATCAATTGATTTGCATACAAATTTCTCCTGTATCCACTATTATGTGTTTATTCAGCTGTAACCACAGAAATTGATGCATTTAAAAACAAATTGTCATTGGCAACTATAAACCACACTTTCCGATAAAAAAGAATGAAAATTCATTAAAATTATTTAAATATTTTGAAAAAGATGAGAAGTTTTTTTTTTTTTATTCGTTGTTTGTTTAGCTAAGAGTAGTTTTAGTCTATTTCAATTGAAACTCAATTGTGTGGTAAAAATAACATTGAAGTACTTGCAATCAAACTGTAATACATAATCATATTATCAATTGTATGAAAGCGAAAATAACACTGAACATATGGCAGGGTAAATACATGTATATTTAATAAATCAATGTAAACATGTACTGCATTCAAGACTTAAACTGCACACATACCAAATTATCTAGTTACACTTCTCCTGAGCCACTGAGCACCCCTCCCCCCAAAAAATAAGGATACTTAATGTAGATGTTGCACATTTTTAATTTCATTCCCAGTACAAAATATTAGTTTGGAGAAAAACTGCATAAAAAGGGGTGAAAATGGAAAGATTTTTGTAGCCATGTTGAAGCAATATTTCACATGCGAGTTTTGTAATATATATCACCGTATAAAGTTATGGAAGTTAGAAATACGTATACAATTTCTAAATAATAAATAAACACAAAAATATGCAATACTAGAATGACAAATGAACAGATGAATGGATTTATGAACAACTGTTCTCCCAAATCCTGTCTAGACATAGGATATCTGATGATACGCAGACACTAGAAGAAATAAAACACTTGAAAATCCGACCAAAACATGACCCCGGGGTAACCACTATCTAATAACATCCACATAAGTTCACTTTGCATAGAGAAACTTGTGTTATAGAA